TGTAACTTTAAATGATAGTAGATTATACTTCTTACCAAATAGTGAAGAAGTCACATCATCACTCAACATCCAACCTTTTTTTGAATGCAATTTTATAATATTAAGAGTCAACCTTCATGAAATTGAAAGATTAAAAAGATTAAAAGAAAAAAAAATTTTATTTGATTTTAATAAGCATGAAAATCTTTTCTCGAAATCATACTTTCATTTAATGATGACTTTGTCTGAACAGATGTATGTTGTGAATGATATAGCATTTTATATGAGGTCTATTGGTGCTAAAGAAGCAAGCATTTATGATAAAAATTTAAATTTAATACTTGTAAGTATTAAAAAACCATATATAATTTTATTATAATTATTATTTTCTTCAATAATTAAGACAATTTTCCTTTATTTGTTTATAGATTGATAAGCCAATGCTAAACAATTTATTTAAACTTGACAATATTATTGATCTAAAAAATAGAAAGAGCCTTAGATTTTTTTTATTACATTTTATTAATGGTTCATCTAATAACGTTATTCCAAAAGAAATTTTAATTTCCGGTGGAATTATTATGGCTACTTTAAGAGCTCTAATAAATTTTGATTCTTTGATATCTCACTTAAAAAATTTTATTAAAAAGGTGAAATTCAAAAATTTTTTTTTGTAAAAAAAAAAAAACTTATGTAATATAATATAATTTAATATAATTTATTGATGATTTAGCATGGGAATTGGATGATCAAAGTTGATATTAATATTGAATTAATTGTGACAGAAAGAATTTCTCTATTAAATTATAATAACGAAGGTTTATTAGCTGAGAGGTATCTATAAGATTTTTTTTAATATTATACATTAGTATTCAATTATTAATATTTACATATATGTAAACTTTATAGATTAAGCAGGAATCATAATGAAATTCGTGATGGGCTAAACAAAGGCATAATAAATTATTTACTTCCATTAGAATCATATTTTGTATGTATAATTTATTTATTAATTCATTTTCTTTTTAAAAAATAATTCAACCATAACACATTATTATAATTATAATTATATCGGTTATATAGAAAAAATTATCTAATGAATATATACATTGTTACTGCTCAATGAGTAAAATGCAATCACTTTACCATGAGAAATATCGTCACTTTATTGTGATTGATGATATCAAAGAAAAAGAATATGTTGATATTCCTGGAGTAAATAAATATTTTGAATTTTTTTTTATCTTGACTTTTTTTAATGAAATATATTTTTACTGATTTTTTTTATTTATTTTTTTAGGTTGAATGTTTGACAATTGATGAATTTAATCATAAATATATTTAATTTCAATTTTTTCATTTTTGAGCAAACACGTGGTTTTTATTCCCACGCACAGAAAAGAACTTTTTAGTTAGATTATAAAAATTAGTTTTCAGGTTTTTGACGCGTTATAATGTGTTACACAACTCCATTCATATGTATTCAATTTTAAAAAAAAATAAAAATTACTATCTATATATTAATATATAACATATGGGTGAACATTTGTACTACAAAGGATTTCAGGGATCCAAAAATTTTAACATCACAATTGTACTACTGTACTGGTCAGGGTTGTCTTCGTACGACTGTACTCGTACTTTGGGCGAAGCAATTTATTTTATTTATTTATTTATTTAATAAGATCCTAATAATAACATTAAAAGTATTACATAATCATCGTGGATATCCTATGGGATATCATGCAAGAGACAAAAGTATGCTTCCTAAGCAAACATCTATTACTCAAATTTATGATGATCTCCAAAATTGAAATTAAAAAGACCAAACTCCATTTTCATTCTTCAATGGATGATTTAATGATTTAGGATACCAGTTGGAGGTTGAATGAAATAAAGCATTAAAATGTCAACCACACATACATTACCTTCCAAAAAGTATTCAGATGAGGTTTTTAATAATTATGCAAAATGCCATATAACAAAAGTACATATAAAAACTCATTTTTCTCATTATTTATGATTTTTAGTTAAAAAATGAACATCATTTTTATTTTTTAATCATCTTTAGAAAAATATATATTATCAATATTCTGTTGGCCACCCATTATGTTTCAATTCTTCTTGGTATATTTTTAATAAGGTTATGTAACGCACACTGAGGAATTTGAGACCATTCTTCTTTCATTGCAATCTCCAATTCTGTTAATTTTTTTGATAACTTATGACTTTCCCAGAATGGCAAAATGTTTTTTTTTCTATTCATTTTTGTTTATCTCTTTGAAATGCTTGCTGCTTAGTTTGCTTAGCATGAATGTATTCTTCAATAATTTTACAGCAGGCCTGGTCTAATTTCCTTATACCTTTTTCTTAATTCAAGTTTTAGTCAAGTATTTCAAAATATCATCTGTAAGGCTCCGAACGAATCAATTAAGTTCGAACTGATTCGAATATATGGCAATCATTATCATTCATTAGTTATTTAGATTTAATGAATCGTGCAACTGTAAATTGTATTACTTTTTTATTCGTCATTACGTTATCATTATTGTTATCAATAATAATAATAATGGTTATGGTGGCCGAAACTACCTTACTTTAGTGGACCAAAATTGCCGAAATTAATTGGCCTTAAACTTTTGACAAAACTAATTTTAATAGCTGAAATTGGGCGAAATTATTTTTAAATTTTTCAAAATAAAATAGATTGATTTTTATATGCATTAGGCGAAACTATCTTTTTTTCAAAATAGTTTCCACCACTAAATAATATCTAAAAAATTTTAAATTTAACAATATACACAATCTTGATTTTGGGTGATTAGAAATTTTTTCCAAAATTCCGTTATTATTATATTAACACAGTCAAACTTTGTCACAACGGACTATAATTAAATCCTTGTCATAACGGATTTTTAAAAGTTTTTTACTTCACAAATAAAAATATTTCTTATGTGTCCCGTCTATCTGCTGTGATCTATATCAAGAAATCAGTTATTTTGAGAAGAATTTTATTGTTATTATTATTATTTTTATTATTAAACCTCAATCAATTAATATCCATTAAATCGAGGCACACTACATTGAGATTCACTGTGTTTAATATGACATCAAAAAAAATATATTTAGGAATCCGATTTGATTCAAATTGATTCGAATCGAGTCACGAATCGAATTGAATCAAATCCAATTCAGTTTTTTTGAATTCGAATTAACTACAGAACGAATCAAATCAAATCGAATCACTCTAAAATTCAATTCAATTCAATTCAATTCAATTCAATTCATTCGGAGCCTTGTTTAGTTGATTATATTAGTAGCTAGTTAGCTAAAATAGTCAATTTCCAACCTCCTAGGTTAAACTATGACAAAACTATATTGACATCTTACTAGCGGTTATAACTAAGGGTGCAACCAACTTATGAACACCTAAGGGCTACGACAACTAATACGGCATACGGCATATTATCACAAGTAAGGTTACAGCCAAATATTGTCACAGTGGATGAACGGGACACACAAGAAAATTTATTTAAAATCTGTTGTGGCGAGATTACTAATCTTTCCACAATGGATTTTAATATGTTTTTATATTAATATGCGAAACAAAAATTTAATTACCGTAAAGTCTAGTCTGGAAAGATATAGTGCGGATCATCTATACTCAAAAGTTAAAATTTTTGAAATATTATGTGATTCACACATCGGATTTTAAAAAACCCACCACCATTCAATTCGGCTTTAAAAGGGAATCTATCGATCTAAAAAAATTTTAAATTTGAAAGTTATGCTCAGAAATACAACAATTAAAGGTGCAGACATATTGTCGAACTATAACTCATAGTTATGACACAGCTATCACTATGTTGTAACTATGTCGTGACTCTTGGAAAGACTTTCCGTATGCCGTAACTGTTTATCTTAAGTGGTGTTAACCCGAATCAGGTAATCAAAAAGTAATCTAGGTACAGTCAAACACTATACTGTAAAGTCTGGAAAGATAGCACCCGTGACAAATAGCAATTTTCTATGAAATTGTGACGATTAATACAATAAATTGTGCGTGACAAACTATAAAATTACTAAAAAAGGAAATATCACGGGTCGCCATTTTTACGTTGATTCATAAAATTTGTTTCGCATATAAAAACATTAAAATCCGTTGTGGAAAGATTAGTAATCTCGTCACAACAGATTTTAAATAAAATTTCTAATGTGTCCTTTTCATCCACTGTGACGAGATTTAGCTGTAACCTTACTTGGTGATAGTATGGCATGGTGGCATACGGCACTTGCCATATGTCATATGCCATATGCTGTCGTAACCCTCAAGTGTTCATGTGTTTGCGCCCTTATTTGTAACGATCAATTTTTGTGACGTTTTTACTTTTCTTTTGAAAATTCCAAAGAGTGATAGTATTATCGGACGATTCTTTCCAAATTGTTACAAAGTATGTTGCATTAACTTAATTGAGTTGTATTCTTTCGTTAATTAAGTAACAATGTCAATTATCGTTTATGGTATAGTAAACTAGGAATTTTATCAATTTTGTAATACAGGATAGTATCACTGCATTATCTTTAGCTTTAACCTTTGTGATACGGCAAATGAAACCGAGGTTCAGGGGGATCCAACCATTTTAAAGGCTAACAAGTAATTATTTATAAACAGCAGTTCAATTTCATTAATTTACTGTTCCTTGGAAAATTTTTATGATTCCTTATCATCTATTAAATGTACAATAGAAAACAATGGCTTCACTATTTTACAGGTTTGGGATTCTGATGTCACAACTATCAAGATCACATCTCAAATTCTAAGAACGGTTCAACCCCACATTTGTTCTGATTATGAAAGATATTATTACTAGCAAATTCGACTTCAAACATTCTAGTTAGAAGGACTTTAAAGATGAATATCAAGGTGTATCCAAAGGAATGTTTTCTTCTCGTACCGATGGAACCTTTCTTGATGGAATGTTCCTGGTTCAAACTTGATGATCAAAATAGGTTCCCCTAAAATGATTTTACTCCAACCCATTGAATATAATGCTGTAGGAGAAAAAATTATACTTGTTGATGGCAAGAAAGTATTGGAATCTGTTTTGATGGAGAGACCAAAATTAGCCAAGATTTCAAGCATGGGTGTATGTCCTTTTGCAGAAACAATCAAATTTCTATGAATTGTTGTGTTTACAATAATATGCCAGATGATAGTATTCACGTACTCTTTCGATATGATTCAACTACATTTGTGCCAGATTGGTCTTGCAAAGCGATAAAATTATCTACAACAATTATCACATGAACCCGAAATTCCAACTTAAATTACCCTTAAGAAAAAGCCACAAATCTCGATAATGGATAATCATCAGCTCTTGCATGGCCATAACGAATTTGCTGGAAATCACAAATTATGCCGGGTCTCCTCAGAGCTATGCTACGCCAAGCTTGGCCAGCAAAAAAATTTATCAAACAGATTTAACTTTTAAAAATGGCGGAAATGTGAATGTTTATATCACCTTGGATATTGTCATCAACGTGGCTGGTGCAAAGAAAGGATTTGAATCAATGATAAAATAAAAATGTTAAATCACATTTGCATTTCCGTTTGCCTTCTGATTTGTCATTTCTTTTTGTTTTTTATTTCTTTGAAGTTTGTATTCCCGAGGTTGATGTCCTGCTTGTTTTATAAAGTTTTGCCTGTACGTTTGTTCCTAATAATTGTCTTCATTTCTGCTTACTTCTGCAATTTTCATCAGAAAATTTGTTACGTGCAATGAGGATATATAATTGTAAATTACATAATATGTCGAATATAACAAATTATATGAAATTTGATTCAGCACTATGTAGGAAGTTTTTTATCTTTCAGCATCAGGCTAAACAGATTTTGGCAGGCAACCTTAAACATGATGCAAATTATTTACATGTGGTAGATCACTTTGACTCAATCAGGTGACTTTTTGACGCAATTAAATTGAATCATATGAAAACATATAAATAATTGAGTCGGACGTAATTAAAAATTGAGATTTTAGGAAGCCAAATTAATTTTGACAACATGTATAATGCAAATAGTGTATTTAAAAGGCATGTCAGAAATTATATAATTTGAAAATCATAAATAACAAGAGGAAATCATGATATTAGTTCTTGATTCTTTAATTAATAACTTTAATTAGAAATTATTATAGTTATTGGAAATGTTTTTTAGAAAAGAGACCTTTCTCTAAAATATTTAATTAATTATCAGAGAAGCCAATCATCCTGATTCAATGGAACCGGATCCTAAATGATAGTACTTTGATTTATTATAAATATAGTTAGATTTATCTCTTGTATTTTTCTTTAGTTTTAGTTTTAGTAGAATGTATAGAAAAGATGTTCTTGACTCCGAACAAATTGCAGTCTAGTCCTTTGATTAGACTGAGTGGTCTTTGGACTGGACCATTCATTAATACAAAACCCTAGGTATCTGATTTGTGTTACACGCTCCTGAAATTCATACAATTTTCTTTAGGCATCACAGGAAATAATCTAATTTCAATATTCCAATTTAATTTAATTTCATACACCGATAAA